TGCTGTGTGACGCAGTGAGTGGTCTCTCTTTGCAGATAGACAGTAATGTGCTGTGTGACGCAGTGAGTGGTCTCTCTTTGCAGATAGACAGTAATGTGCTATGTGATGCAGTGAGTGGTCTCTCTTTGCAGGTAGACGTTAATGGATATTCTGTCCAGAGTCTTGCCTCTTGTCTCCTACATGTAGTCAGTGACCAGCTGCTGACTGGTTTCAGTTAAGCTTCCACCTCCAAAGGGAGACACTGAGGAACCGGAATCCCTGATGAAATTCCTGATCCATTCTACGTTAACCTTTCCTATCTGATTCATTCCAAGCCATGCCAGAATCTTTTATGCGTGGGGTGGTTTTGGGCTCTTGTCAGTTCTGTTTCTTATTAAGGAAAGAGAATAAATTGCTAAATAAATGTATGAAAATTGCTGCCATGCACATATTTTCCAGCCCAGGGACCTCCCTGGGCTGTGACTGTGCCCTGAATTTTGGAGAGACTGAGCTAAATTTAGTGCTGATTGTTGTGAATTGTATCGTTTTTTTTGTTTTCCAGCTTCTCTGTATCTAGTAAGTCACACCGTGCTCTGTGCTTTGTCTCCTTCATAATGACCTTGCATTCTTTTCCTGCATTCAGGTGAATGTCCATTTAGTTGCAACCAGAATTAGTGACAACTTTAAATTGTAGCACTCATGTATTTAACACATTGATCCGAAGCAGCTTCCAGTACAGGGAAGGGCTACAATGTTACATGAGCTGCCTGGGATTTGAACCCATGATGTTTGCATTAGTTAGCACAATGCTCTCCTTCTTGAGCTACATATTCAGAGTCTGCATTAATATTCTTAGTATATGATTGTTCCCATAAAGTTATTTCAGTACCAGCTCACCAAAAAAATATACTTATCAAAAAGAAATGCCTACGCACTTCAGGTAGCTGTTGAAGCAGAAATGTTGCTTATTAAACTATAAACCAGCTGGAAGTTGTTTATGTTCTTGCCTCCAGCAAAGTCCCCTATTGAAGGCAACAAGGCCACTGGCCAGGCAACCAATGAGCTACCATCCTCCAACCACGCCCACAGCCCCTCCCTCAGGCTGGAGGCCGCCGCCCCCCACTACCACAGTCACCAGCTCCAGGTCAAGGTCTTCTGGAGGACTCTCCCCTCAGGCAAGTCCCTGGGGAGCACAGGTGGGGGTGGAGGATAGGTCTCAGTAAGGCTTCATATGAACTTCCTCTGGATTTCTTTTTTTTTTACACAAAAATGTTCTGAGGGCAGAAGGAACAATGATTGGCTCAGAGCAAGGACCAATCATATTGTAGAGGAGGTGGGTCCAAGCTACTAGAGGAGGCGGGACCAACCAATCAGATGTTTTGGTTCCACCTCCTCCACAATCTGATTGGTTATCTCTCTGAACCAATCATTTTTCCTTCTGCCCTCAGAACATTTTTGTGTAAGCAAAACTCCGATGAGCTCTCACCTCATGGGATCTGGGATTACTCCACTTCTCATTGGGTGCTTTATTGATCACTTCTAGGTTAACCAGGCATCGGATGACAGGATGTGGTAATTCCCCCTTCCGCGGATATCAGAACATCTTTTTTCCTGACACTACTTCCCACAAGTCTGTTCTTTTGCCATTCTCACTTCTGCACTGTCATTCTTCAGTGTGACAGAAACTATGAATAAAGCATAATTTCTGATACATACATTAATTTATTGACTTGCGGAGAAACAAGGAGTTGTATTTTGAAAAAGTTTTATTGTCAGCGATCCCTCATTCGCCCGCCCAAACACTAGCAGAAACACACAGCTGGTGAGAACAGAGGCTGTGTAAATAACCGCGAGCGCTTTTGGCACAACGCAGTAGGACAGATTTATTAATATGAAAACAGCCGGTGAGATGGGAACATGTGAAAGACATGTTTATCTATGTGTAGGTACAGACAGGTGGGGAAAAAAAGCTGTCTTCAAGCCTTGACTCAGAGTGGAGGAGAGCATGTGTGATGTTTTTACAGAATATGGCATGTGTCAGCTTTAAGGCTGATAACCGTTCACATCGGTCCGAAGATGAGTCAGTGAAGTAATGCTGCTTCACAGATATATGTATATATAATGTGTGGCTGTCTGCGGGCTGTAAATGTGCCACGGTTCCCAGCTATTTTGTCCTAAATAGAAAGTGGGAATGAAGCAGCTACCCACCTGCTGAGGTGGCACCCAGACGTCTGCTCCCACAACGTCACCCGGACAGAGAAGGCAGCCACGGTGTCGGTACGCCTCATCCATCTGCGCTGTCGCGCACCTTCAGCTACTTTATTACCCTTCCTGATTTAACGAAGAGGGATTTTCTTTATTAAGGAAGCTAGTCAAAACTGTCCCTTAGAGTGACAATGTTGGATTGTTTTTACTCATATAACTTGATGGAGGAAATATTGATAGAAACACTTTACTTAAGGGTATCTTGTAATTTATAAGCACAGTCATAATGCATTATAATTCATTCATAAAGCATTGTTCACACATCATAAAGAATTTATTAATACATTATGATGGTCCGTATAAGCGTTAAGGATAATTTATAACCGCATTAAAATGGTATCCATAGTGCATTATAGATGAGAGTTTCATAAAGCATTCATAATGCATAATAAACATGCCTATAATGTATTATGCCTTTTTCTAGATATTTCTAGCCATGTTTATAATGCTTTATGAATGCATGATAATGCATTATGAACGTGTCTATAAACTGCTAAAAACATGTCCTTAAGTAAAGTGTTACCATATTGATCAGTTAACTGATAACACAATTAAATACTTTTGGCCAGTCCCCCCCCACATGCAGTTAGGCTAAGTGGCATCTCTGCATTGATGGACTGACATCCTCCCTGGGTGTACCTCAGCCTTGTGCCCTATGCTGCCTGAGATAAGGTTAACTCCCCCCCCCCCCCCCCCCAAACCCTACTCAGGATTAGTGGTGGGATGGATGGATTATATTTGCCTCCATTATACTTTTGCTATAAAATGCAGAGGACATGATGTCACATTTGTCATCCTTAGCTTCATCCATGACCATTTCTGTCTGTTGTCTGTTTTTTTTAACCACCAGGGAACGCATTATGTCATCACTGACCTGCTCTTCGGCTGCAAGTACAAGGTAGCAGTAGTACAGCTCTCAGGTCAGAGGTCAGAGGCCGTGACCTCGGTGATGACACCACCATGCAGTACACTGGCGGGCGACGCGGTGAGGTCTTTGCAGCTTAGACAGGGTGTGTTTGCACTGCGTTTCCTTGTTTGTTCTGCGTGTAACTGTCTTTGCACATTGTTTGTTTTGCACTGTATGTATGTTCGCCCTGTGTGCCTTGCTGATGAATGCAGAAGAATTTCCATCTGGGATCAATGATGTTTATCTAATCTAATCTGAGCATGGCCTCCTACACACAGCCTACAGGAACCAGTACGTTACAGTGCGGGACTGGGTGTGATAGGTGCTGCCCAGATTTTCCATCACAGCGAAAAACATCTCTGAAGCTTTCAGAAGAGCAGAGATGCACAAACTATTTTTGCAAACTTAGCAGACATGTAAAGTGATTTGAATAAGTTAAGGCCAACAGTCAACACCATGGTAAATTCTGATGGACACTGTGAGCAAAATATAGTTTTTAACCATGCACATTGTATTAAAAACATTGCCTGCATAGTTTATCCGTGTTGACGATCCCTGGTTAAGGTACATACTGTAAATGTCTGCAAAGACATTAAAATTCATCACATTGTTACATGCAAAAATGATAAGAGATTGACAGTTTATCCGTCCGCTGTAATACATCATGTTCTATATTAGACCTCTTCCATGAAACTTTCTCAGTAATTGTCACTGGATGCCAACAATGTCTGCCTGGCCTGTCCCAGAGTGCCACCTGCTGGCCCAGAAGGTGCTACTGCGACCAGAGAAGCTGGCTGCTACCTTCTGGACAGTAAACGGCTCACTGCGGGGGGAGTTCGGCTGGCGATGGTCCCAGGCTGGCCCTGATCTGGGCCCCATCTCCGCAGTCCAGTTCTCTCTGGTGCAGCTGTCGGATGCTGGTACTGACATCATACCTGGTGCCCTGAATGCTCAAACCCAGAACCTTGCCTCAGTGAGTCCCCCATCCACCCTGTCTCCAGCACCACCTACAAACAAGCTCTCAGATACATGGCAGCGAATCTCTGGAGCGTTTCTGTGTTTCAGGATCAGAACTCAGTAACTGTGGAGTCCCTAAAGCCTGAGAGTGTTTACAAGGTGCAAATCCAGGTGCGCTCAGCAGGGGGCAGTGGTCCATCCCTGGTGAAGACCATACGCACCCCCCAGCTAGACAATATTCACATATGAGGTATAGCTGCTCCTTCCTACACACACACACACACACGTCCTCTCACGCACTGGGAAGGTGTCCAGGCATACTGGTGTACAGTTTTGATCAACAAAGGATGAAATGGTCCTTTGATCTTTTCTTCACTTCTGCATTCTTGGAGATTTTAAACTGTGGTGATTTTCACAGAAGTGTAATGAACCGATTCTTCATGTGCTGAAAACCAGCTGGGTGACACACATTGCTTCAAAGTCATATCTGCATGCTTGCAGACAACTATATCACTCCAGATGAATGAATTGACATTTTGGTTCTGCTTTGGGATGGGCGTGTTGTGAAATTTTCAGAGGAAGTCTGTTTTGCTTCATTCAGAACAACTGGAAATATATGAAAGAGATTACATACAAAGCCCATTCTGTTCTGCTTTACAATATTTCTAGACCTTTGTGAATCAATTTTTGGAACTTTTGGAAGTTCATTATGCCCGATGAAATAAAAATGCTGCAAGATAAAGTGTTACCCAAGTGAACTGTAGCTATGCTGTTATTTATGTAAGTTTACTTAACCGGTTTAATCCATTTATAGTCATTCTGGTCCTTCATATCACTCTGGAGACAAGCAAAGCTGAGTGCATAAAATGTAAATGGTTAATATTTGTAACACTTTCCTCCATCCATTCCAGATGTTCCCAGTGCTGCTTCCAGTGCTCACCATTCACCCTGTCTGAGCCCAAAAGGCCTCATCTGACTTTTATTATGAAGCAAAGATCCCACATGTGACTTTTATGAAGGCTGCTTATGTGCATCTCACAGTGCGCCAAAGTAGCAGGAAATCAAGCATGTATATATGCAGAGGTACATTTCAGTAGCTGAATATTGAATAAAGTAACTGTGCTGCCCAAGAGAATCTGCAGTCACTTTCGGTGTTTTGTGTATTTTTGTGTTGCTATTGTTCATCTGGAATTGTGAGCTCTTGTAGGCAAAGTCAATTTCCTTTTCTCATTCATGCAATCTTTGTCTTTTTTAAACAAGATATTTCCTATAAATTATTTAATGTTAATAAGGGTGTAAACTCTGTTAGCTATTTATTAATCGCTATTATCCTGTCAATTAGCATACGGTTGGTGGTTTTTAGTTAAAATCGCACGGCACGCATACGTAAACTGTTAGCTTTCGGATTCTTGCAGGTCACCTCACTACCATTGCGACAGCTATCAAAAAAACCAAACACATGTTTCTTATTTAGAGAATTTTGCTGCCAGTCAGTGTTTTCCTTGTAGAATTGATATTATTTTATGACCGAGTTTACGATTGACCTGCCCACAAACAGCGGGGCTCCTGCCTGGAACTCTATGGTCAGAAGCCCAGTTCCTGAACTGCGAGAGTACTGTCTTGTTAACTACTTGTTCATGGTGCCCCCTGTATGATGTAGACAAGCAGTTAATTTCATTAATGTGAATATTGTATTCTTTTTTATACTGACCTGCATCAGCAGAAATAAAATCTCAAACAAACAATATTCAACTGTGTATGGAGCCTAATTTTGCTAAATAAAAATTAATGTATGTCGGTTGATTGGCATTATAAGTGTGCTGAATACAACTTCCATAATACCTTCAGTTATGTGACTACAAATAAGTAATGATTGATTAACTAAATTGTACATGTTGTCATTTTAAAGGACATATTTAGAATTGTAGTGCGTGTGTGTATGTATGTATGTATGTATGTATGTGTGTGTGTATATATATATATATATATATTATATATATAAAATTTAGTATTTTACTATCACCTGCATATCATGCATTATTACCACAGTATTGTTAATCTTCATAAATCCTGCTGTTAAGAACTACAGTATCAAAGAAAGCACTAAGGAATAAAATTAACTAAGAAACGACTGAATTACACAAAACAGTAATAATCTCAGACAATATTATATCGCCTAGTTTAGTTTTGTGTTTATTAAGAAAAAGTCAGTTTTTAGGTACTATTTTTTCATGTTCTTTTTCTATAAGTTTCTGTAAGTGACATAAAAGCGCTCTTGCGTTCTTTCACCAGTAGGCGGGGACACTTTCCCAAGGCCCTTGTCGCGATTGGCTACTTGATCGATCTATTCATGCAACGTCATTCGAGAGCGACGGGGCTTACGACGAGCGAAGTGGGTGCATACATGTCGTCAGCTGGAGCGTGTCTCGGCGAAAGCCTATTAAGTATAGTGATGGAACTTTTCCTTTCAATTATGACAGTCTCATGGTAACGTATATTTATTCATTTGCTGCACTGTAATAGGGCGTGTCAGTGTTTTGCATTCGGAAATTCCATGCATTTTTCATGTTTTCCGGTTAGCTAGCTGCACCTTTAGGAAAATGAGAAACGGGTAGAAACTAATCGTTTAGATTGAAATGTTGATCATCCGGCTCTCAGGGTTACTGTTATACCGAGATGTATCGAACGGGCAAAATTGACGTATTGCACTTTTTACCTTGCTCCTTTTCTTTAATTGCATTTAGAAAAGAAGCATGCATCTGCTATAATAGGGTACAGGGGTCGTTTGTCTTACATTTTCATTTGCAGAATCTCTTAATTTTGCATTCGATCGCCACATGTGAGTATATTTCCATAAAATATAAATTTAAAATACCTACTCACTGTCGATAGATTTAATCTCCGCACTTAAGAATCCTCATATCAGATCATTATCTACGAAGATAACATTTAGGCAAAACTAATGAGAGACAACTTGGACACACTCGCAAACTTTATTTATATTAGGTGTATTTAATAAGGGAAACGGGAAGTGTAACTCCCGCAATATAGTTTATATTTGCCGAATATTTGCGTGAGTATCTTCTCCCTTTCTTGTAGCACTTTCTCTGGATCATAATGTTGAATAGACTCCGGAACCAGAAACTTCTCCGATCTGTGAATGTGAGGCCCAGGATTCTGGGCACGCTTCACCGCGCCAGGCTGAGGGGCCACCTCCCCATATCACTGCAGAAGCGCTGGTGGCTCCTGAGGACATTCATGCCACCCGAGAGAAGGAGGCAGGGCAGCCGGACTCCCACAGTCAAGAGGAAAAGGCCCAGACCCTTACTGGAGAAATCGGATGTCAGGTCGGACAGTGAGGACGCCGGGTCTGATTCTCAAAGGCTCTCTCGGGTTGTGGCAGCCAGTGTAAGCACAGAAAGTGGAGAAGATGAGTCACGAATCAGTTTTGCTTCAGGAGCCAATCTGCCCAGACCTACTGACCCTCACCTGGACACTGATGACTGCTCCGATGGGTCTGTGCAGCCTGCTCCGTCCCAGGCCAGCCTCACTATGGTAAAAGCTGCCAGACTGCCGGCAGATGCCTCTCCCATAGTGGCAGGGGGAGTTCAGAGGCCACCGAGTCACGCTGTCAGGCAGTCCCTAAGGAAGCGAGCGAAACTGCCAGTCAGCCAGCAGCAGAAGGCGCCTTACTTGCTGGTGCGATACAGGACCTTGTCCAGGTTTAATCTCTACAAGCTGGCTCGCTCCAGGAGACGCCTGCTGTACTGCAGGCGTCCTTACAGGGTTCCTATACATGGGGGCAGGAGCCGAAGGGGATCAGTGATCAGCCGCCCGTCCCCCCCGAGGACGGAAATCGCCGCATCCTTAGGGGAGGTGAATGGCTGGCAGTGGCGAAATGGCAAGGGGCCGGCAGGATGCAGCTGGCCAGAGGAGGGACTGGTGCAGGTTAGCCGGGTCGCGGGGGAAGCCTCCAGATTCCCCAGCCTCGGGAAAGGCCTCTGGGACCGGGGAGACTCTCCGGGCCTCCCTGGAGCGAGCAGAGCAGGAGATGGAGATAAAGGCAGGGAAAGGTGTGACAAAGGGGCGGAGCTAATGGCCAGTGAGACTGAGGGCCCTGAGGGTGACGCCCACACAGGGGCGGAGCCTCCATCCTGCTCCGGCTGCTGTACAAACCCACTGAGAGACCACCGGTACTGCAAGAGCACCGGTGACATGGTGCCCGAGACGGGAAACGTGGGAGCAAACGACCAGCTGCTGAGCCCTCAGACTGGCAGGGAAGGAATCACTGAGCTCATCCATGGTATGGACCAGCAGACACTGATATGTTCATGTGGTGTGTGTTTGTGTGAAATAATATGTGATATTTGCCCCCTGCTCCTCTCCCCCCAAGAATTCCTGGAAACCTTCTATGAGAAATATGGAAGCTTCATTCCATTAAGTAAAAGCGATGTTCTCCAGCACCTCAACAAGAAGCTGAATGCTGATCTCACTGACAAGTAAGTTAGGTCCTGTCCTGACACTTATCAGTGGGGTAGACTGTGGGTTAATGTTTTCATCCTGCATGCTTGGGATATTTCATTCAGTACAACCTAAAATAATAGGAAAATAAATTATTGCAGTTACCATTTGTTTTTCAGACCGAGTAGGAGTACTTACATTTGTGTACTTGCCGATACGGAGTACCAATACAAGTACTTAAGGCAGTATTAATACCATCAAAAATACAAAGAATGACCTAACATGGTCTAACCAGACCAATACTCATCCTGGCAAATCAGACCAATACGGTTGACAAATCTCTCGCTAGATGCCAAAATCTGGTAGGGCAGCAAAAATGTCCTGGGTTTGAGTTTTAACGTAATATTGCAGTTGAGCGATATCAGTTCTTGGTATCTGAGAATCATTATGAGTCCGAGTATGAGTATATGAGAGCAGTATCGGTGCATCCCTAAGAACAATAACAGGTACGGAGGCCTAGATGCCGAGCCACACGCTGCCCAAATGTGATGGCACTTGACTGTTAGCATCATGGTTTTTTTGGTATCCACCTATTTGTCATATAATTATGCATGATTGCAGTTGATTGGTTGCGGAGTTATAATGTAGCCTGTGGCTAACACGTCAGTCTCAGCTAGTCGTTCATGGTGGGATCAGCTGAGGTTCGCCCTGTGATTCTTCCGTGAACCGCCTGTTCCTGTCACGGTCCTCACGCCGGCCGCTTCTCTCCTCTCAGGAAGTCTTTCATCTACAGTGAGGTGGCCCGATACCAGGCCGGCTTGGCCGCCGCCCCCATGCACTTCTTCAAAGTGGCCCACAACAGGCACACACTGACCCTGGAGGACCTGTCTACGCTGGACAACCAGAACTGGGTCAACGACCAGGTGCGATCTCTGCGTTTCGATTGGCTGCTTCTCTCAGTGTTAGCACCGCCTCCCCTGTGACCCATAAAAGCAGCCATTGGCCAAAATTTTGGTGGACGTGGTTTTGTTCACATGCCCGGGAACTAACCCTGTGTGTGCTTTGTTCCATTAGGTAATCAATATGTATGGAGAATTGATTATGGAGGCTGCCCCACACAAGGTAGGCTTGTATCGCTGTACTTTGGTGATGCACTGGCCAACAGTGTATTTTTTGTGATGTTTTTATAAATTCACTGTATTACCATTATAAAGCCTTATGCTTCACAAATTGCACAGGAGGTATGAGAGGGGTAATAATTCAGTAGAGTCCAATAATCAATCATTATGGGACATTTAAAGTCATTAAATATAGCTTGTGTTCCCCCTAAGACTGATCTGAGGTTTAATGCACATGCTCAATAAACAGATGTCCCAGTGTCCACAGAGGAAGGCCGTCATCTTTATGGGAAGCAGAGCTAATTATGCTGGGATGGTGATAATCATGCAAAGTAATTCAAATGCACTTTCTCACTAGGCCATATTTATGTGCTGTTTCCATGACAACGTAAGCAGTAGTTCTTATTTTATGACATTGATAATTTAGACATCGAATTTAAAAATGCATGTTTTTTTGTTTTTTTTTGCTGAGTGAAATTGGTCACAAATGCAGTGTTTTGTAGAAAGAATGGTCAGTGATGGCCATGAACAGAATTGCACTACGCAGCGTTTTGCTCGGCAGGGATGTCTGGCGTCGTCATCGTAAATAAGCAGAGCTCACATTCTTTTTCACAGGTTCATTTTTTCAACAGCTTCTTTCACAAACAGCTGATAACCAAAGGATACGAAGGAGTGAAACGCTGGACTAAAAAGGTAAGGGAAGTGAGACTCTAACTCTCAGTGGGAGGAATTACTGTCAATCACTGTCCAATTTACCCAATAGGGAGTCTGACATCGCCGACACAGTAGTCCCACCCTCTGCTAGTGTCATTATAAAGCCTTATGCTTCCCAAATTGCACAGAAGGTATGAGAGGGGTAAGTAACTGCATGAATGAAGCGTCTGATTGGCTCTGCATGAATGAAGCATCTGATTGGCTGCGCGTCTGCAGGTGGATCTCTTTTCAAAGTGCCTCCTTCTGGTCCCCATCCACCTGGAGATCCACTGGAGTCTGATCGCCGTGGAAGTGGCTGAACAGAACATCCGTTTCTATGACTCCCAAGGCATCACCTTCAAGCACGTGATTGAGGTAACGTGCAGATGCTGGAATGTCCTGGCAGTCTGGGTTTATGGTCTGTTTTCCGCGGGGGGCGTGGGGGCCCCCGGGAACCCCCCCCCCCCCCTGCCAGCCGATCC